ACCAGGGAAGCTGGAGAGCTGAAATTTTTTGGAAATTTTCCTAGCACAAGTACAACTTGCAATTATCAAACTTAACCCTTCAGTGTATCTGATACTCACGCACGGCCTCGTGAAAATTTTTGGCGGATAATGGCTAACTCGGGAACCAGGAGAGCCGAGGGGCTGAAATTTTCAGGGAATGTTTCCAGCCCATGTGCGACTTAAATTTATCAAACTCAGTCCTCGGGCTTGCGTGATTATCACGTGCAACCCCGTGAAAATTTTTAGCAAGAAAATTGCTTATTCAAGAACCAGAAAATTTGAAAAGCTGAAATTCCAACGAAATATTCCCTGTCCAAATCTGCGTAGCCAATTAACTTCCCGGACTTCGAGGACCAGTGTATCACACATTTCTAGCTACTAGGTTTTCGAGCGATCTCATTACATCATGAAATACTGCAAAAGCGCATGATCGCACTGGCCCGCTCGGTGCGCTTCGCCAATGATTTTACTTCTTTGAATTTGATTATTACCCTTGAATTACCGCATATGATTTGCGAGTTACAAAACGATAAAATTTTATTACGATTTTCAGCGATCTAGAAATTTTGGGGTTTTTTGCGTGTTTTGCGCTGCAACAGTTGCACAAAACGCGTATTGTCGAAATCCTGTCTGTGCGTGCGTGTGAATTTGTGTGTGTGTCTTTGTGAATGCTCCGAGTGCATTTCATTTTTATTATTTATTTTTTTGGATTTCTCTTCACTACGTCTCAGTTAACAGTTTTTTGACTATTCCTCACTTACTAAAACGCCGGTATCGTAATTTCTTCTCTATTATCTCCCCTTTTTCACGTCAATAATGGGTTCTTGTATCAGAATAGGATTGTAAGCAAATACTAAAACAACGTATTTTTCAACTGTTTATTGTCGCTGTTTCTTTTCCGGAAACAGATCTCCTTTCTCGTCTTTACATTATCTTGCGCATTTTCTTCCTAGCCAGCGAATGATACTTTCCTATCAACCA